CACTGCTCCCATTCCAGTCCTCTGGGAACCAACTCATGGAGACAATGAGCAATTACACCTTCATCCTCTTCCCCTCCAGCAGCCACTTTGTGGAGGAGGTGAAGAATGGCATCTTCCTCTAGGAGAGAAGTTTCCACCCTTGTTGCAATAGCTCTTCAGTTTCTTGAACAACACAGTGTAACTGGAAAGTTGTAGGGATGTGTGCAGTGACACAGATTTTGGCTTTTCATAAGGTTAACTAGCCATCTGGGAATGCCACAAAGGAATATACCCTGAGGCAACCAGCTCCCCAGTGGTAAGGTGTGGGGCAGAATTTAGGCAGGTGTCAGTAGCTGTTTTCACATTCAGTGGTATGGGACTTCACTCCAGAACAGACGTGGAATCCTGATGAACTGCCAGACCACTTGAAGGAATATGCAAAGGCATCCTACCATAAAGACACAACTTCCAGAGCTGTGATGGAACCTGGAGTAGGCCTATGCCTACTGTCAAAGGAACAAGAGGACCTGTGGATCTGAGGAAACACAAACAGACACTGGGAGGGTCTCTGGATCTGAGGACATACAAATGAATACTGTGAGAGTCTTTGGATCTGAACTCACAAAAACAGACACTGTGGATAAATCAGAAATCCGGCCCTGAACTACAACATCTCCTGCAGCCAAGAAGAAACAATAGAAGCATAGGTTGACCCAGTTAGTAAAAGAGATAGGAGCTCCTCTCGAAGAAGAGCAGGAAGAAGAGATCATGGACCAGCCAGAGGGCAGATACTTTGAAGCACTGCCCAAGGAGATGACACATGCCAAAGAGGTCCCACTGTATAACACATTACCAGAAAATGAAAACCAATATACTTTATTTACTGATGAGTCCCATCATATTGATGTAAGGAAACATCAGAAATGGAAGGCTACCACATGGAGTACCACACTGCCATGACAGACCCCTTCTCTCAAGTAACTAGCAATAGGACAAGAGGAAATGGGCTTAAGTTACACCAGGGGAAGTTTAGACTGAATATCAGGAAGAATTTCTTTACTGAAACAGTGGTGAGGCACTGGAATGGGCTGCCCAGGGAGGTGGTGAAGTTGCCATCCCTGGAGGTGTTCAAAAAACATGCAGACGTGGCACTTCAAACATGGTTTAGTGGTCATAGTGGTGCTGGGTTGATGGTTGGACTTGATGATCTTAGAGGTCTTTTCCAACCCTAATGTTTCTACGATTCTGTGATTCTAAGACAAGTCACAGAAACTGTCACAGGCAAAGGCAAATCAAGTCAGTAGCAGAAGTGAAAGCTATCCAGATGGCCCTAGACATTGCCAAAAGAGACAAGTGGCCAGAGCACTATCTCTGCATTGACTCATAGATGGTGGCAAATGGCGGGGGCAGGGGTGGAGCTACAGCAACAGAAGCTGACTAACTGGCACACAGAGGTAAGCCCATCTGGGTTGCTCCACTGTGGCAAAACATTGCTGCCCTGATAGAGAACCTCACTGCAGAAGTACATTACATACTCACATGGCCAAGAGCCGTGCCACTGAAGAACATGGAAACAGGGAGCAGGCAGACCAGGCTGCCAGAACTTAAATGGCTAAGGCGACTTGGACTGGGAACATAAGGGCAAGCTAGTCATAGCTCAGTGGGCCCACAACACATCAGAATACCTAGGAAGGGATGCAATGTATAGATGGAGTCATGATCAAGTGGTGAACCTGATCACTGAAGCCATCGAAGAAACTATGCATGAACGTGAAACATGCCATGATCAAACAAGTCAAGTCGATAAGCCTCTTTGCTGTGGAGAACAGTAGTTGGGAAAGACAATTTCAGTTGCTACTCCCTCAGAAAAAGGCAAACCCACTTGTGGGGTTCCTTTTGCTCAAGGGCCAGGGCAGGAAAATAGGGAAAACCAGTGTGTACCTCAAGGAGATACAACCTTGGGGGAAAATAATAGTAATTAATGATTTGAACTGTATGTCATAGCTGTATGTCAAAATACTACAGCAGGAGCCACTAAAACTGCGAATGAGCCTTGTAAGGAACTGGGCAAGACACAACCAGTTTCAGTGCCCAACACCCCAACCCAACACGTCCTATTAAGGCTCTACTTGTCCTTTTATTTATTTTTTTAATATCTTTTCAAAATTATCTCCATTTTTCTTTATGCAAAGTGCATGAATTCACTCGTGGAACGTGTATTAGGCACTAACATTTTCTTACTCTTACACAGCACTAACTAGAGCAAAATAAGTGTAGTATGTTCAGATTTACACCGTTGTAAATTAGAAGAGCAGGTTCATGCATCTTATTTGTCTGAAACGTAGACTCTTCTCACATACTCACAATGTTATAGCAATGTCACTAAGATGAAACAACAGATTGTAAAGTAATAAAAATATGTAAATTATCAGTGTCATTGCTATGACATTGTACTGGATTATCTGTAAGATGATTTGTGTTCTTATGTGCTCACAATTCTTATCTTGCTTGCAGGAAATAAAAATGGTTCTTGCTGAGTACTTTATTTCAAAATCCATTAGCATAACTTGTTACTGAAAAATTGAGGAGAGCATCTCAGAAGACTGAGAAAAGGAGAAGACAGATTAATGATCATATTTCTGATTACATCGACTCAGAAAAATGTCAAGGTCTTGCTCACACTTCAAAACATTGACTTTGTTGGTACCAGAAGGATCCCTCACTCTGTGATACAAAATGTTTTGTGAACCAGTAAATATTGGTCACCTTTTTTGTACCTTTCTCCCCTCTCACACCAGCTACAATATGTTCAAATGGCTGACACCAATCCATCTTAGATACTTACTGAAAACACCGAGGACAAGCTTAGTCTATATTGCAGCTACATTCTGAAAAGTGATTATTTAAAATGGTAATGTCCTAGCCAGGAAAATCTATTCTGAGATAATAACTCTTTGTACACTGATGAGATTTTCTACTAAAGAGAAAACTGAGGGAAAAAAACCCTCTTAGTGCTTTTACTAACACAGAAAAACCAGTTTGGCTGTGAACATGACGTTGAGTCATGGTTTGTACACCTCTATTGAAATCAAGTGTACCCATTTTGCTTTGCCTTGTCTAGCTGCCTTACACTTGGAGGAGGAGGGGTGGAGATGCCCAGTTTCTATTGTAAGTAAGTAAGTTTGTACTGCCAGTAACAATATGTAGGCCAGGATAAACACACAGGTAGTTTCCTGGTGAGACTGTAGAACTGGCAGGCAGCAGAACAGACAGCGTTTGTAAATAGAGAAAATTGGATTAGAAATTAGACAAACTATAACTTTCACTAACTCAGCTAACAGAAAACTCAGTGGTTATTTTTTCCTTTCAAGTTCTCTAATAGTGATTTTTTTATTTATATACGTCAAAATAAACATACAAAAATACTTGTTGTGAAAATGAGGAGAGATAAGATGTCCAATGTTTGATGACTTCATTTAATTGTGATATTTTAACCCCTTTCCAACACTGACCTTTGCCTCCTGCATAATGTTTTGCCTCCACTCTATTACCTAAGAACTTCACTAACTAATGCAGCAGGCTAACAATTGAATGTTGGAGATCCCACACATACTTCTTCCTTCATCCCAGAAAATACACTTTCTTTCAAAGCATGTTTGCTCTTTAAAGATGTTCATGCAGGCAGTGAGGTCTAGTAATAGGATTAACTCTGCTCAACCAAAAGGGCTGTCAGCTGAGCAGACAGATTAACGAGCTCATCTCACACTTGCATGACATTTTCTTCCTTGCTAATTCCAAACAGCAATTTCTAAGACTAGGTTAAAACATGCTATAAAGACATGCTGAAAGGGTAAAAAACAACAGCTTAAAACATTGCATTTCCCAGGCAAAATAAAATCACACAGAACAACAATGTTATTTGTAAACGAAGGGCTACTCCATGAGTGAGGGTCAAAAATCCCTTCCATGTCCCAGATACACTTTTTTGTCTGACATTTCTTACCTGGAAGCAGGAAGGCAGGCACTATACTGCTGAGGTAAACAAGGCCAATACAAAGTATATGGGAGAGATATTACAGACCACACCTTAAGAAGCCAGTTAGCTGCTGCATCACACTGAATCTGTTGCAGAGGATCCTAAATCACTTCTTATGCACTTCCTACATTAAGCTAACAACTGAACTGCAGTTGACAGGTTCTCAGGAGACTTGAACCATCATCCAACATTCAGAAGATCTTTGCTACAGCACTGTTGGGTCTTCTGGGAAGATTCTCCCAGCCTACAGTCGTGCCCAAGACTCAGAGCTGCAGTCTACCACGCTGGCTAAGCAGGAGAGTAAAACATTCACACACTGCAATTCTTACACATCAAAGGCTACAGCTTGCACCAACAGATGAAGAAATGATTGCAGCTTACACCAGCAGAGAAACCACCCACCCATCAATTTTTGTCAAGATTCACAGACTCTCATGCTTAGCAGCCTTTCAGCAGAGGAAGACAAGTCTCAAGCTCCTTTACTCTGGAGAAAAATAAAATTATTCTACAATTCAAACAGCAAGTAGTTTTCATTTATCCTAGAGACTCTGATTGCATAAAGGCTTTCTGAGCATAAATGAAATTTACACTACGACAGCAGCAGAGAAGGAGCTTAATTACAATGACAATATAACTCAATCCAGACAATGTTCTCATTTACTGTGCCAAGTATTTCCTCATGAATTTTGATGCTTAGACTAGACCCAAGCAGAAAGAAAACCAGAAATCCCCACCTTATAGTGGTCTCACAAGGGACTTTACCACCAACTGGTTGTATATGATGCATGTGACATTACAAATTCTTACTTTTGTAAGGTGAGCGATCTGAATTTTCACTGTGTGATCATTACCTGATCATATTGCCTCAAACTGTCACCATTAATTCAGATACTACTAGAGAAAGCTCAAAGCAAGTCCCAGGTTTTTAAATGGCCAGCAGGGTACACTAACATATCACCTGCTGACCACCACAGGAGCTACTTACTCCACAGTACCGGTCGTCGCTGAAGATCTGTGGTGGCAGCGGATTGCCTTGCGCGGGCTGCTTATCCTCAGGAATATTTTTATACATCCATTGTCTTTTCTCCTCTGACATTGTGATATCCACTTCTTCAAACTCTATGCGATTGGCTTCCAGAAACCTCACCACATCTTGTTGCCTCTTCTTTATCTAGATGAAAGAAAGAAAGAAAGAAAGAGCAAAAAATAATGCTCAGAGCAAGTCCACCATAACACAGACATGCTTACAAATCTGAGAACATTCCTCCTCTCTTGTCCCACTTTCATGGGATGGGAAGTCCCAAACTCAGGAAGACAAAGGAGAAAAAAAAAATTTACAGTTTTAAGTTCAGAAAAGTCCAACACTGCTCTTTCTTTAGAAGTTAGCAAAGGTTGTACTTCATCTCATTTCTAGAAGGTTGTCTCTTCAGCTCAACTGTGGAAATTACAGCCTTTACTTTCTAAATATGCTTTTAAAAAAAATCTGCATGGAACTCTCCAGAAGTAGGAGTTGAAAGAGGCAGCTGGTTTTCAAAGTCATTAGGGGCTACATTTTTTAAGTATACAGGCACCTAGAAATGCAAGGTAAGCAATATGACAAACCCCAGAAGAACCAACTCCCATTAGTGTCCATGGAGATAAAGATGTCAGTACATCTGAAAAAAACCACCCCAGCTACACACATTTTTGTTTTCCTAGACACCTACACATTTTTTAAAATGCAGCTCGACAGTTCCCTGAGCAAGGCTTTTTGAATCTTTAATTAGGAGTGTCTGTCTGCATAATACACATGCCTAAAAATAAGCATGATCTCATCCCTTGAAAAGTAACTTCACTGGAAAAAGAAAAAAAAATTAGTTTTGTACTATATTTATGGAGTTTCTGCCCCTCGAAGAGATTGTCATTTTTATAGAAAAGCCTAGCAGAAGTAGAACACTGGCAGTTTTTAGCTCATCGTACCTAACTAACAGCAACTCTTAACAGCTAGCTGGGCTTCAAGCAGATATAGATTCATAGAATCATAGAATCCT